CCGTTGCTTCCTTTCCTCCTCTGGTTCTGGTTCTGGTTCTGGTTCATCGTCGGGGCTTTACTCTGCTGTACTGTTTGTGCACCTCCTCTGCTCTCTGGTGCAATACTCTACAAGTATAATTCAAAGTGTTGGGTTATATAGAACGGAGCCAAACCTATATAATACAACACACTTACACTTACACTACTAACTGTGCTAGTATAGTACTATACTCTGTACTGAGTAATATAAAACTAAAGAGTAAAGCTAAGAGTAGACCTGGCGATGCTGTGACGTCGACAACCTCAAACACCCCACGCGCTGATATTCAAGAGTCCGCTCTGGCCACTCTTTTTGATCTGTCTTTTACATTCCCTCCCACCCGGTGGACTACTCCACTTACTCAGCTCTTTCATTCTCTATCTTCTGTGTCCTATCCGTGGGTATTCTCGAGTTAACTTTTCGCTTCTTACTCGGAGATAAATAAAAAAAGAAAAAAAAAAATAAGAGAAGAGAGTAGAGGTAGAGTAAAATACGCTGGTATCTCTTTTAAGCTCAGTTTTTTTTTTTTCTGTCTTTATTGTTAGCCCGAGCCAAAATGTACCTTCGACCGAATGAACGACTCTACGAGTTTCCTCCGGTACGGATTCCACTGATTTATTTTTACGCCAACGGATTAAATTAGTTGTCTGTCATGTCCGTATTTACGTATTTTATTTTCGGATACTTCGTGTTCCGAGTTCAGGAAAAATAATAAAACTCTGTCATGTCGGTGTCGGTTTTTAAAAAAGTAAATAATATGGTTATTTCAACGCGGAATTCCCTTGTAACAAATTCTTCGATAAGATATTTTAATCGTCGTAACACAAATGCGGGTACTATTTTTAAAATTTAGATTTTTTCGTATTGTCAATTCATTTATTAGCGGTTAAATATGTACATTATTTTTTTGATAGTTTTTTTTTTTTTTTTTATATATATTATACTTTTAAAGATAATGATTTGAAGTATTAATATCAATAAAAAATTTAATTAGGAATTTCTTATTGATAAAAATTGGAAAATACACTCTTATCAATAATCATTTATTAAAATTACTAATACAGGGGTGGTGATTGACCTGGAAAACCTGGAAATATCAGGGAAATTTCTAGTTTATTTTAAAAAATAAATTAGAATGCTGTAGAAATAATAAATTATTTTTATACCATTCTAAAAATCTTACTGTAGATAATGTTTAATATTAATTGATGTTATTTAATTTCTTATTTTTTGTGATCAATAATATTAAAAAAACTAAATGTATGGATAATTAATAATACAAAAGAAGTATAACTTCTCAATGATTAATGATAATAATAATATCAATTATTGTATTTTTAAAAGTTTATAAACATTAAATCAAAAGAAACTGATCTTTTTTGAATTGTTGAAAATCTGTAAAAAAGTATAACATAATTTATACTTCCAAATTTTTACCCAATTCTGGATATTAGATATGAATTCTAGCATAGAAAAATTATTTTTAAAATAATTTGCAATTATAACGAATATTTGAATTACAATTATTTTTTTGGAGCAATTATTATTATTATTATTATTATTATTGCGGATTTTAAAATATGAAAGGATTAAAAAAAATTATTTTTTGAAAATTTTTACCAATTAAGATTAAGAAAAAATAAAAATAATAATAAAATTTATTCCCGGCAGAAACTGACAGTAGCTTCACACGTTAAAACGTCACCTTTGAGTGACCTGAATCATAATCTTTATCCTCTTCTCAACTCTGTTCGCCTGTTCCTCCACCGTGAATTTAAAATCGCGATATTGTTGAAGCGTATCCATCTGTCATCCTCATCCATTCACCGGGAATTCTAAGCGTAAGTGAATAACCCATACCCGTATAGAAACTCACAGTAAAGACAGGATGACTGCCATCCAGGATATGTATAATAATATATATACATATATAAAACTAATTTTTATCATCATACTCTTCCAGTACATTAGCATCACAATCGTATATAGTTAAAACCAGTTGCTGTACTATTTTAAATTCACCCTCTCTCGGGCCACAAATTAACCGAAAAAATTTATCGTTGCTTTCGTAAAAAACATATACATATTAATTTTTAAAAATCTCCATGTACGCGTGTCTCGGGAATTTCGACACCGTTAACTTCTTCATGTATTTATTATATGTATGTACTAAATTGTGTGTACGTCCCTCTGAAATTTGCCTACTTTCACCTCCATACTCTGACCTAATTCTTTAATTTAAAACACGGGGAATTTGTGAAAATATTTTCTCGTGTCATGAAAGAGAAATCATCATATTTATCTATACTATGAAAGACATAATATATATAGAAAAAAAAAAAAACAAGAGTTTATTTTAAATACACTGGTTATGTACAATTACAAAATAAGTAATGACAAATCAACAGATAAAAATTGATACTAATTTAAAAAAACAAGATAAGAAAAAAAAAAGAGGAAATATTTGTAACATTTAGTGCCTTAGGGTCTCTTGTACAGACGGGTAGTATAGAGGTGCGTGACCTAATCACTCGACTCGCCTTTATATTACATACTTGTTCATACGTTATATTATCCGATTATCAATCGCACATATGTGTACAGTACACTCTGTTGATTCTGTATTTGTTATTAGTCTCGTGAGTATTAGTAGAGCACATGGACACACAATGTAGTAATCTAATATAATGATCGCGAATTAGCCACCACCTCGCCACGCGTAACTTTATATTTAAGAAATAATAATAAAAAATTGTCAATGTTTGTGTACCAGCAGTTTGGAGTAATGTGTGGTGTGTGAGTGGGGTATTGCATAGAATGAATAAGTAAATGTGTAGTCTGGTAGCTCGAGCTGGAGTAGAGTACACGGATAGGAGCGAGATAACCGAGTGGGGGAATCCCCAGTCACGGTTTAGTTCTTGTTATGTGTGTAGAGTCCTCATGCGTGACTCACTTTCCAGCAACTTGCTACTGCACTCTGCCTCTACTCTGCTTCTGCATCTACTTGGGATTCTCCCTTCTGTTTTAATTGATAATTATTTATTTATTTATTTATTTATAGTTGTATTTTATTAAGTCACAAGAATTTTAATTGGTGGTGTAATTAATTTTTTAAAAATTTTACTTGAAAATTTTTATTTTTTTTTTTTAAATATTAATTTATAAAAAAATTTTTTTATTTATTTATTTTTAGTTATATTTTATTAAGTCATTAGAATTTTAATTTTTTAAAAATTTTACTTGAAAATTTTTTATTTTTTAAATTTAATGATTTTTTTTTTAAATATTAATTTATAAAAAATTAATTTCTTTTGTTAAAAAAATTTTTTTATTTATTTATTTATAAAAAATTAATTTTTTATTGTTAAAAAATTTTTTTTTAATATTTTGGAGTTATAATATTTATCTAAAATTAATTTTTAATTTTACTAAAAAATATTAAGCTTTATAATTATAAAAAAAAAAAAGTGTCTTAAAATTTTAAATCTCAAAACAAACGTAAAAAAAAATGAAAAATTATTAAAGTTGATAAAAAATTAATAATTTCTTACTCCAAAGTTATTTTTAAAAAAATAAATATTCTCATAGATATTTTATTTAAATATTGTAAACACAAAACATAAATGATATCAGATAAAAATGTTAAATTTATTTAAAAGTCATGAGCTGGAATTATTTTTAGATTTTTTCTGCAACTGTTTACTCCGTAAAGCATAACCGAGAATAAATGTGAATCAAAAAGCGTTAATAAATACATCAGTAATAGTGATAGTAATATTATAAAATAATGAAAGAAATTAAAAAAAAAAAAAAAAAAGATAAATAAGGTAAACGGTTTATTAAATCTTATCTGAAGCGCGGGTATACATATATAGAGTACCAGAGTTATCTATATACTCGATGATTCATATAAAAATAAATGGTTCAATATAGCTAAATGAGAAATAAGAAGTGAAGAAAAAACAGTTGATAAATTGTAATCAGCGATAAATGTATAGTAATGTTTTTTTTTTATGTATATAGAAGACAACAATTTAATAGTCTTTGTTATCGAGTATTTTTAATATTTTTAAATGTAATTATTTATAATAATTTTTTTTGTTTGTTTGCTAGAATGACTTTTACTACTCTCATTGACACGTGTACAGGCATGCGATATCAGACTCGATGATGTTGTGAATTAGTATGCACATACTCAATGTTAATGTATGCAAGTGTTTAATCCGCTTATTGACAGAGTAGTCACCTTCTATTTAAATTACTCAGTACGGCAAAAATAATATTATATTATATTTAAATATTTATGTTAATTTAAATATTTATAAGTGATTAGCAAAAAATAATCTTGAGGGAAAATACACAGATACGGATTATCTTAAGATTGCCATCGTAATCACTAGTGCGTCAATCGAGGCAGGTCAAAAGAGATAAATAATATTATATTATAAATTATATATTATTAAATTAAATAATTATTGTAGAATTTGATAATACCGATTGAACAAAAATTAAGCGAGCGTATTTGAATTTGGCATCGAGAATCGATGTTAAATAGATTTAAATAATTAAGGAATGAGGAAGAGAAGTCGAGAATGAGCGGGTAGTAACTGAGGCGCCGAATATATTTTAAGTTATTATTATCTATATATTACACTAGCTATTTTTCTCTGTTAACGCTCGGTTAATTATTAATGATAATTAATACCGATTTAATATTCTCTGGAGGGTCTGGAGGGAGAATGACGAGGACATAATATACTAAATAGGATTTATATAAAGAGCACCGGGTACAATTAATACTGCGACAACGATTTGAACTCCTGAACCCGAGTGCTTCCGGTTTCGCAATCACTCACCCTGAATCCATTATATTAATCATGGAATAATTTCATTCGAGTGATTATTCGATGAATTATATTTTATAAACTGATCTATTGATTTATTTATTGCTCTCTATCCATTTTCTTTTCATTTTTATTATGATCATTCATTTTATCTCAGCTATCCATTACTTTGTAAGTGAGTTATTAAAAAGCTTTTAGGGAAATTAATTATCAATCATGTGAGATGGAATAATTGGTTGATATTTTATCTAATTATTCAACCAATTTTGGAAATTTAAGAGGCTTTGTGCATTGTAATGCCGAAAAATAGATTTTTTAAATCATTTTTTTTTAATCGACTATTAAAATGGCCATAGTTATAATTAAAACTTTAAAATTTATTAATAAATTTTTTTTTTTTATAAATAATGAGTTTTGTAGCTCTTACATATATAGTATAAGTATAACTTTGAAAATAATTGTCTGATTGACATAAAATTTTTTGTGTAAACATTTGAATATGTTTACATTACAATAAAAAATTTTTTTTAATTCTAAATGCATATAAATTATTTATTATTTAATAAATAATTAATTATAATTAATTTAGTTGCTAATTTAACAATCAGTAATAAAATTATTTAATTATTTAGAAAATAATTTAATTTTTTATATTGTATTTTAAATAAAAATATAAAAGCGTGTAATAATAATAATAATAATTATTATTACTATTATTTTTATTTTTATTTTTAATATTATTTTTATTTTTAATTAGTCTGAATTGTTAAAAATTTTGAGAAAATAATTTTTTTTTATCTTTTATATTTTATTCAAAATTTGCAATAATAATAATAATAATAAATTTGAAAAACATAAATTATTATTATTATTATTATTATTATTATTATTGCAAATTTTAAATAAAATATAAAAGATAAAAAAAATTAATTTTTTTTTAATTTTTACCAATTTAGACTAATTAAAAATAATAATAATTATTATTATTAATTATAATAAAAAATTTCCAAATTTACTGATAATTTATTTTTTGTTACAGAGACTCAAGCAGTGGCAATGACAGACCCCCAGTTAGCAAACAACACTAGTTGTAACAACAATAACAAAACAAATCCAAGTACAAATAACAATAATAATAATAATAATAATAATAATAATAATAATAACACCAACAATAATAACAACAACAACAACAACAACAACAACAACAACAACGATGGAGAGTCAAAGTACTTACACAAAAAGTTCAAAAAGATGGCGACTGTTGAGGTGTCGTCACCGCTGGAAATCTCGAAGGATTCAGTCAAAACAATCATTCACCAAACTGACTCCTCCGAAGTCACTCGACGAGCTCCCGCTAGTGACGTCACCAAGAGCATCAACAATAACAACAACAGCAAAGAGTCTTCCAAGGCAAAGGAGTCTTCCGAAAGCAGCAGCGAGCCCCCAGAGACCAAAAAAACGGGATACGTGTGTCCTTACTGCAAGATGTCCTGCTCCAAGCCGAGCGTTCTTCAAAAGCATATAAGAGCGCACACCAACGAGCGACCATATCCGTGTCTGCTCTGCGGGTTTGCTTTTAAGACAAAGTCTAATTTGTACAAACACCGACGGTCGCGAGCCCACACCGCCAAGGCCGAGGGAACTGCCGATCAAGCTAAGGTAATTTTTATTTTTATTTAATATAAATTATCAATTAATTCTGGCTTTTATATTAAATAATTAATATTAAATTTTATTTGTAATTTTATTTATAACCGTTCTATATTTATTAAAGGTGTCAGAAGATTCGGACATAAGTTTATCAGACAGCGCAAGCAACGGAACGGGAACGCCACCTCCTCTGGCATCCTCAGTAGTAGCTTCTAACCACCTCGAAGCTGCTACCAAGACAGTTAAAACTGGCAAGATCTACAAGCCAAAGTTTCACACCGCTCTTGAGTCCGTAAATAATGACCCGGAAAGTTTGTCTGTATCTCCGCTCGCGACAACTATTTCTACTTCCACTTCATCTTTATTATCATCATCTTCTATCATATCTAGCAGCTCGAACGGCACGTCGACAGTTTCTATAAAGCCAAACGCAGAGCAACTCCAAGAACACATTGACAAGATTATCACCGACAATCAAGCAATCGTTGAAGCAGTAGATCCGCGACTCCATAAATTAATGCACCGACAACAATCACATCCAGCAAAACCCTCCGAGCAGCCGCTAAATTTGTCTTCCTCTCCCGAAGTTGTTCTCTCCTCGCGAAAGCGGCATCTAGGTGATACCCAGGAGGATAAAAATCAAAAGCCACAATTAAATTTACACTTACAGTCAGAGCCTGCGAATCAAGGATCTATAATAAAAGATTTGCTGCTGAAAAATCGTGACGATTTTGTCTGCGCAAACTGCAAAATTTCCTACACCAGCGCTGATAATTTGGAAGCTCACAAGCGTTATTACTGCAAAGTATCTTCTTCCTCATCATCACTATCGTCTTCTTCATCGTCTTCCTCATCTCCAAGTCCAAAGCGGGACTTTCAATTGGACTTGGAGAAACGTGATAATGATGACACCAAGTCAGAGTATTACAACACCGTGAAACCGCTTCCTTCGCCGGGTCCTTTGCTGGGAAATACCAGGCTGGTCGACGCGTACACTCCACCAGTGAAGAAACACTGTTTAACCGAGCTGACTGTTCCTCCTACAAGTCTGAGGTCTCTTGAAGAGCTGTCGAAGTACCCGAGACCGAACTCCTTGCAGATGTTCGGCGGACAAGTGAGAATACTGGACAACACTGGTGAAACTAAAACCATGCGAATAGAACCACGACAAACCAATTCGCCCAGCGATGATATGACCAATCACAACAGCAAATCTGGAACTTCTGAGACATCTTCGATAGTCGTGAGGTCCAGCTTGCACTCTGGAGGTACTATGGTCCACAAACCACCCGGTGGGACTTCAGTCAGCAGCAGTGTCACTAATTCATTGTCAAACTCCATATCTATGCCAAATGCGCCTCAAATGCTGGCACCAATCATACCAAACATATCAACTCCAAACATCGCGCCGACAATGACCTGCTACGGGAATTATCTCGAGCCGAGGTTGAACCCACTGACAATCACTGCCTACAATCCGCTGACTCTTCCCTCGGGAATATCAAGCATCATGCATGGTGGAAAAATAATCCCATATGTTCCAGGAATGCCGGGACCGCACACACTTATGAGTGACATATCACAGCCTCAAACGGATTCTTACAAATTACCTGTTCCGGGAGCTCAGCCGCTGGACCTCGCGAGTCCTGTTAAAGTTGGAGCTACAACGCCCTACGTACCTGGTATTCCTGGACCAGAAGACTCAGTCAAGCCGCTTTTCACGCCCCTGGATCTGGCCAAGGATCCCAAAGTCGGGTTCAAGCTTCCGACTAACGGGGGAGTGATTTCACCCAAAATTGTCCAGGGTGACAACAAGTACCGCAGGCTGTCGTCTTGTGATTTTAAGAACAATAATAATCCAGAGGTAGATAACAATTTTGATCGTCATATTCACAAAAATTCTAAGTACAAACTCAAGGATAATTATGATAAAAATTTTAAGACCGATAATGTTAATATTAATGGAAATGTGAATTTTGAAAGATCCTCACCAAAGCTGACCGAAAACCGGAAGCGACCTGCAAGTTGGGGAGATGATGGTTCTATTAATGACAGAAGAAGTCCCTTGGTCGCCAAGTACGAGCATGGAGAAGGAAGGGTGAGAATGTCACCGGAAACGGTAGCTAATGGTGTGTTTTTAAATGGCCGAGCACGTGCTGAGAGCGTTCCACCGGTGATAATAATGGATCTAGATACTGCGAGCATTCAGCAAGAGCCAAAGTCTTCACCGGAACTGATTGTCAGTCTAGATAGCAAGCAGTCACCTTCGTTAGAAAGAGAAGTTGAAGAAAAAACCACTAAATTCCTTCGACCCTCGTCTTTGCCGTTAAAACCTGGGACTTTTACGCCCAAAAGACATCACGGAATCACACCGACTCCGTACACTCAGCCCCTGATCAGTCCGGAAACCCCGAGGCCCAGGAAGTCGTATGGACAGCTGTATTTAAACGGACACGCATATACATATCTAGGTCTCAAGTGCTCGACGAGAGTGTATTACTGCACTCTGAATCGACCACAGCCGATGTATGTCACGCAGCAGCATCATCTTTCTATGTACTCCAATTGGAAGATATTCAACGACCTGCGTCCTGACAGGAACCTCGCGAACTACGACTCGAGAAACCGAAGCTCTAGTTATACTATTGCGTGGAAGAAACAAGAGCTGCTGCTCACTCACTCGTCTTACAAACCTGTCAAGCTGAATTCTTCTCCAAGCCCAGACAGTGATAGTGCGCAGAAGATGGCCCGGAGGATCAAGATTTTTGATGGTGGTTTTGAGAGCAATGAAGATTATACCTACGTGAGAGGCCGAGGTAGAGGAAGATATGTCTGTGAAGAGTGTGGTATTCGGTGTAAAAAGCCTTCGATGCTGAAGAAACATATCAGGACACACACAGACGTGAGACCTTACACCTGCAAGTACTGCTCGTTTAGCTTCAAAACAAAGGGGAACTTGACCAAGCACATGAAGTCTAAAGCGCATTACAAAAAGTGCAGGGAGTTGGGGATTGATCCGGTTCCTACGACTGTTTGTGATGAGAATATTGACAAAGAAGCGATCGCTAGGTTGACTGCTGGTGGAGGTGAGAACGCTGATGAGTCTTCTGAGGAGGAAGATGATGAAAGTGATAATGAAGAGAGTGAAGAGTCGGGAACTGATGAGCATGAAGCGGCTAGAAGTTTGTTAATTTTGTCTCAGCCTAGTAAAAATAGGCTTCAAATTCCTGGACTGGTTCCTGCTTGTAGACCTGCGACTTATCCTTACGCTCTTACTACTCTGCTGTCTACGAGCACTTCGACGGCTACTACGACGACTGCTAGTACGGGTTCAGTGACTTCTGCGACGGTTATTCAGAGTGAGGCTGCCAGTAATCGGTATTATTTTCCTAGCAGGTCGCTGGATAGTTCTAGAGATAGTGTGATAAGGTCTACGAAGGTTGAAGAGGCTAAGGAAGAAATTATTGAGGGTCCAGCTGGTGAAGCTGAAGATCATCAGGGCACTCGAGGAACTACCCAGCCGATGGACTTGACTACGAAGCCCGCAATTTTGGATTGTGCGAAGAGGTCTTCGGTTGATATTCTCACGCCTGTTTCAGAGCCGATTTTGATGCAGACGATTGTCCAGACTATGGAGAGACTTCCGCCGGGAAGAGAGTGGAAACCTGATGCAGAAGGACACATGCTTCAGGCTTATTTGACGGAGAGACATGTCATGGATAGCAAGATCAAGCAGCAGTATCGGGTGGGAGGTTTTAAAGTTGAGAAGAAAGTTTTTTCTGGGAGCAAGTTGGAGAATTCCAGGGGAAGTTTGTTCTCCAGTTCGACGCCTACTGTTACTTATACGGATAGTAGGATGCAGTTTGCTGGGAAGAAAGAAGATGTTGGACAGAAAGTTGAGGCCAAGAGTGAAAGAAGGCCCTTTGATATTGAGTCCCTGCATTCGCAGGAACTCTTGAGGCCGAGAGTTAATACTCAGGAGTATTTGGTCGGAAGAAACTACCCGGAGGTTGGGCAGGAGCTTAAGCCCTTGGGCAATGAGACTAGAGAGGCTGTTGCTAGTCATGAGAGACAAGACTTCATTCCGTCCCCGGGTAGGGAAGCTAGGTACGAGAGACCTGTGAGACCTGTGAGTGCTGGATTGGAATTCAAGGTTCCTTGTTCGGAATTCAAGGATAGGGAGACTCCTGATACCAAGGAGTTCAGACCGATGGAACCTAGATTGGTTAATGAGATTGGCTTGAGGCCGCTACATGATGCTAGGAGTAATTCTGAGAGAGTCCTGGCTGATGTTAAGATTAATGTTGAGGGCTTGGGCAAGCAGATTGGCGTGGCTGTTGTTGAAGGCATCAAGCAACAGCATAATGTAGTGAGGAAAATGGTTGTTGCCGGTCCTGGGTTCAGGTCCCCTTCGCCTTCACGTGCTGGAAAACCTATGGCTGAATTTTTACCACCGTCCGGTGTTGCACCCAACTATGTGAGGTAGCTATATTTTTTTTTTTTGTTATTATAAATATTATTAATAGATTTAATTAAGTGTTGAAGATTAAAGATGAACCCGTTGTTGCAAATCGAGGCTTGCTTTTATTTTTCGGCTACATTTTGTTGCATTTAATGTTTTTTAAATGAGTAGTATGATTAATAGTTGCCAAATACGTTACGAGAATTAGCAGACATCTTACCATTTTTTGGTCGTCATTTAAAAAATAAATTACCGTGGAGATATCTTGAAAATATTGTAGTTTTTTTTTATTTTTAATTATAACAATTTTTTTGTATACTAAAATTAGTAGACATCTAATAATTGTTTAAATTTATAAAAAAAAAAAAATATATATATATATATATATCAAATATTCGCACTTATAATTTTTTTTAATTCATAATTGTGGAATTTTTTCCTAAATTTTTTTTATTATAATTTAGTTGTTATAAAAATCTAAAAAATTTTTAGAAGTTTTCTAAATTCAGTGTCATTTTTTTGTTGGAAAACATTGACAAACATTTGATATTTTTTTACAAAAATTGAATTATATAATGAAAAAAAAATTTAGTAAAATAATTATGACACTGAAGTTAGCAGACATGTAAAAATTTTTGATTCCTTTTATTAATTAAATTATAACTAAAAAGATATTTTTAAAAAATTACACTTATAGTTTTTCAAATTTTTTTACATGTGACAATTTTTTTTTTAATTGTTTAATTCAAATTTTTTCAATAGAAAATTTCTAATATATATTTGATAATTTTTAGAATTTTATAACAAATAAATTATGGTAAAAAAAAATTGAAATGTAGAAATTTAAAAAAATTAAAAATTCAACTTTTAAAAATAATTTTTTGGAACAAATTTTTTTGTTAAATTAAATTAAAAAATTGTAAAGGTAATAAAAAAACATCAATAATTATTTAATCATGTTACTTACATTGTTAAGTTAACAAAAGCTGTTACATTATATTATTTTGGACAAATATATTGTCCTAGCGAAAAATATATAGCCATAGAAGTATATTCAAAACGCTATAGTATGTGTGATAAAGTCCAAACTGCTGGATAAGTATATTTATTTCGACCAAACACATCCACTGTCAATTTTAATTTGTTCAAGTCATATTTTAAAACGTATTAAATTATTTAATATTTTTATAAAATTTATTGAAACATGATATCAAAAAATAATATGACATATATGGCTGCTACTAAAATCAAGCCTGTCATAAAGTACAAAAATATTCCGTACGTTAATTTTAACCTAACCTTAATAAATTTAATATAATAATATAGAAAAATGTAAAATAATTAATGATAATAATTAAAAAATTGCAGCATTGGAGAAGATGGCCGGAGTACATGTGGAATTTGTAACAAAGTATTCAACAAGCCAAGTCAATTGAAGCTTCACATAAACATCCATTACTTCGAGCGACCGTTCAGATGCGAAAGTTGCGCCGTATCTTTTCGCACCAAGGGCCACTTGACGAAACACGAGCGATCTGTTTCTCACCACAACAAGGTCAGCATGACGTCGACTTTTGGCGCTCCAACGACCAGCAATCCACGGCCATTTAAGTGTACTGATTGTAAAATAGCCTTCCGGATACACGGACACCTTGCCAAACACTTGAGAAGCAAAATGCACATAATGAAGCTAGAATGTATTGGGAAACTACCTTTTGGCACTTACGCTGAAATGGAAAGGTCAGGAGTTAATTTAAATGACATCGACACCACTGATTGTGATAATAGTCTCGCCAGTCTTCAGGTAATAAATTTATTTTTATTTATATTACTACCTACCCTCTATTTGATCAGTCATTTTTTTTATTTTTATAACAAATTAATTATAATAAAAAAAAAAAAAAAAAATGCTTCCAAAATTTTTTAACAATAATTTTTTTTACTTTTCACACCTGGAGTTTTTTTTATTAAATTTTTTTAATGTCATGAATTTTATTGTTATAAAATTCATGACATTAAAGTTAGCAGTCACTTAATAATTTTTGAATTTTATTTATCAAAAAAATTATTTGTGTAGAATTGCATTTTTTATTTTTTTTAAATTTCTACATGTCAATTTTTTTTTTTTTGCCATTATTTATTTGTTATAAAATTTTTTAATTTGTCAATTTCAGCGTCTTAAATTTTAATAATATTTTAAACAAATAAATTATAAAAAAAATATCAACCCATAAAAATTTCAAAAAACTATCAATGCAATTTTTAAAAAATATTTTTTTCAGTACCAATTTTTTTTTTTTAAACTGACGTCTGATTCAACGATTAAATTAATAAATAAATTTATTTATTTAACTTCAGGTATTGGCGAAAAAATTATACGACCAAGATCCAACAAAAATAGGTCAATGGGACCCAGAAACAGCAGCGTCTCAGTACCAACAAAGTATACCCCCGACAACAACTACAACGACAACAACAAGTAGCGGTGAAGCGTCATCAGATGAAGGTGAACCTATCCCACAATTTCCAGTTTCGCCGACGTCATCTCCATCAGCATTTACTCCAGCGACAGATATACCTTCTTCGGTGTCGCGAGCATATCACTCGCCTATTTTATCAGTGATTAGCGACCGCAATAAATCACCCGTCGAATCTCACGTGCCAAATTCACGATTTGAGGATAAAAATTTGCCTGCTTCCTCTTCATCCTCAGTGGATACTCATTTGCCGAACGCGTTCATATGTCAAACGTGCACCACGTCATTTAGAAACCTCGTCGATTTACAAGTCCACTGTTTCGTCGAGCACAATATTGACAACAGAAATCATCCATCAGAAAGCGGTCCAACTAATGAAAACAATATTAAACAAACAAACGATGTTGACATAAATAAGGTACACGATAAAAGCGATGATGCATAGTGCCAAATGTACGCTTACAAGCGGCCATATACAATTATCATTTTTTAATTGACTAATTAAAATACTACCATTAATTATTAATTATAAATGATAGTCTTAAGTATACTTTTTGACTTTGTTTAATAATTCTTACTCTCAAGATATCAATTTTCTCAGACTATTTGTAATTAAAACAATGAGCTGATATGTGATTTAGAGTTTTATCAAATTAAAGAAAAAAAATTAAAAAAAAAAAATAATTTAAATAAGTAACGAAAAATTTATATAAAATTTATATTTGTATATATGTACACTGTGTTTATTTAAATTATATTAGTATAATAATAATAAGTATCAATTATCAAGACATCGCAATCACGCCCATTATTATCGATTTAAAGATTGACTGGGCCTAGTGAAGATTGTATATCTGTATAGACTAAAAATAACATATATATTTTCAAGTATAATTTAATTATTTAAGTACAGTTGTAAATATCTAAATAAGTTATTATATAATATTAATTAAAATATTAAATAAGTGTCTATTGAAAGTCCAATTTAACAATTAAAAATCGATTAAAATTAATTATGATGAGCTACAAGATAAACCGTGTAAAAATTATCGTGTGCTCAATAATTACGAAATATTAAATTTAAAAAAAAAGTCTTTCCTAACGCATAATCACTTTACTTCGATAATCATTCAACTTGTACCTATTAAATGTGCTTGAGAGTGAGATAAATATATATATATATATATATATATATATATATATATATATTATAATGATTGATAATTTAAATTGACTAAAATATTAAACCGCACAATTATACAACGAGGGATCAGTTTAAGGGGGATAATTGTTGCCAAAAGTTATTATGAATGTGTAGCTTAGATTTATATATTAAATAAACGACAAATTAGATTTACTATCATTATTATTATTAATATTGAAAAAGTAGTGTTTGATGTATGTAATGTGCGTTGCAAATATTGAAAAAATAAAAAAGTGGTGTAAATGATAGATTTATAAGTTGAATATGTATACAAGCGTCCACGCCGGGTCAACGTCTTTTATTTTTTGAGGATTATAAACAAAACATATCAATAAATTTGATAATTATCTTGAGTAATTATATGAGTTATCTTTGAAGTTAAATTAATTAAAAATATAATTGTAAAGAAAAATTAAATTAGACGTTGAGGCTGGCTGCTTCCAAAGTCAGTATTAGAAAACAAACTTGTACATAACACTCATGTATCAACAACTATCGATCGTTTCCTGGCTAATTATTATATATATATTATTGTAATATCTATATAATATATACTTTATATATAAGTAGCCTCGATATTGCTGCTATTTTTATGAATTATTTAAATTTTGTATACCTAAAACAAAATTTTTAAGGTTTGAGAATTTTCAATAAACAGCAGCTCAATAATTACATATTACTTTTAAAATTCAATCTATCTATACCTTGTCTTCCTCTGAATCCTCTTTTAAATTTTAATTATTGGCTTTTGCCAAATTATATCAGACTTGGGACCGTAGTCGAAATTTTATATACTCACTTGAAATATTAATTGATAAATTTATTGTAGCTGCTGGTTTCGATTTTATCTCTTATTTTAAATCACAAAAATAATTGTAATTTATTTATTGTAAATAAAAAAATTGCTTAATTATATTCAGCTTATTTATTGAAATATCTTATAACATATTTATTGTAATAACTTATAATTGTAGTCGTGGAAATATTATACAAGGATCTTGCAGGCTCCAAAACTCAGCGGGCGTCGAATACAACAACTAAATTATTATGTTAAGGAAAAATTTTTATTTTTAATAATAATGACACTGAAATTAAGACATTTAACAATTAAAAAATTTTTTAAATCAATTGAATTATAAAAAAAAATTTACACATGTAATTAAAAACAACGTGCAATTTTTTAAAATATAAATTACATTACTCACTTTTTAAATAAAATCTTAAAGCTATCAAATGTTTGTTAATTTCAGTGTAATTTTAAATTATTTATAAAAATCCAAATTACCCCATCAGGATAATTTTTATATTATTAAAAGGATACGACGCTTGGTACGTTTTTTGTACATGATCCTGTAACCGCATTCTCTGCACCTGATTGAATCTTTCTGACGGAGTTCATTATCATGATGACATTCTAAAAATAAAAACAATAAAAAATTAATTTAATTACAACAAAAATTTTTTTTAACTATCAAATTAAATAAAAAAACAATTCAACAAATTATATAGGCTATGTATGAAAATTAAATTAGCCGGCATCTAAGTGTTAAGAATTTCTTTATTAAAAAAAAATTATTAAATAAAATTTGAATGATACTCAAGTTAGCTGACATTTTTAATAATTAAATTAAAACAAAAAAAATATTTTTAAAAAATTTCACTTACAGTTTTTAAAGTTTTTTACAAGTGAAATTTTTTTTTTAATTTTTTTGTGATCATTTCTTCAATAAAAAAAAATTCTAAAAATGATTGAAAAAAATCAAAAATTGTTTAATGTCTGTTAATTTTAATATAGGTTATGTTTATAAAACCGAAACTCACCTCCGCAAACATAAACCATAACTTGCTTAGCAGGAGGAGCTGCAGAATCAGTTTTGCTCGACGCTTCCATTTCAACTTCCAATTATTAATTCCCCAACAATTAAAACTCAAAAAAACTATTTAAAAAACAAAATTCAAAACAATTCTCAGTGTTACACACGTTGTGCTAATAACGTGTGTCTCTAAAATTATAAAACACAAACTAAAAATCCTACTTTATCAACTCTCTTAGCCCACCCAGCAGCGCCACCTACACAAAGATCCCATGACTATTTTGGGTGCGCTGAAAAACTGCGCAGTAAAAAAGTATCTGCGCAATTAGCTTGTCGTGTCGCCTTAGCAACTGCGGCTGGCGGTTCTCTCCTTCTTCTCCCATTGGCTCTCCCAATTCTCAGCATCCCCCACCGCATGTAAACACTTTCAAACTCACCACACTCAATCTCTCTCTCTCTCTCTCCGAACCTCAAACTAACAAAGGAGAGGGAGCTAAGCAAAGCGTGGTTGCGACGCGGGTCTTATTTTTCCAAGTTCTCCGTTCTCTGCATTCGGTACTCACCCCTCGCGCGTGTTAGTTGTGTTTAGTTGTTAGTTTGTGTTTAGTGACGTTTGTCATGTCGCATTTTGTGTTACCTCTCGTCCAAAATATTATCTTTTAATTTAATTTAATAAAATTAAATTTTTTATTGCAATTTTTAAAATAAAAAATTCATCATGGCTGTCATTTATTTAACAACAATCTATTTAAATAATTTATGATATTCGTTGTGTGAAGTTAGTGTTATGTCAAAAAGTGTCAAACGAAGGTCGGATCTACGGTAACAATAGCAAGGGTGCCATGTTGTTTTTTTTATCAGCATCTGGGGGTACGGGTTCTGAAATTTTTTTCTATTCACTAAAATAAAATAAAATAAATAAGAAAAAAAATACAGCAAGATTTCAGTGAAGAAAAAATAATAAAAATAGTTGGGACAGTGTAATAAAATATTTTTGTTTTGTAAATAAAAAAAAAAATATTTATTTATAAAAATGAATGGAAATACTGTCGAGGATATCGAGATGGCTGAAATGGATGTTAAAATAAGTGAGACACCGCACGGTACAATTGATTATTCAAGTTATCTTAATAACAATAAAAATAATCACTTAAATGTCACTCCTATTAATTATAATAATAATAATAATAATAATAATAATAATAATAACAATAATAATATTAATTATAATAATAATTGGTCAGGTTCGTTTGACAGCGCAGACAGTGGATATCTGTCATGTACATCATCCACTGCAAGGAAGTCTATCAGCAGGTCGAGGGAAGTTAAGAAGTACTGGCTGAGAAGCGAGCACCGAAAATCATTGAAATTTAACAGCCTGATAAATGGCTCCGAGGATTCTGGCTTCGAGGAGCCGAGTCTCGACGGAAATGGCAGCATTTCTATGGACCGGAATCAATTTCGCGCGGATTTAAAAAGCCACAGATTGAGAAATCGCAATAGGGTTCAATTGGGAGCAGTTACTCCTGCAACAGCGGTGTCTAAGACTCCAATTACGCCGCTTTCGCCATGCACTGCGACTACTTCGAGCTACATGGCCTGCGAGCCGGTCCAGGAAGACGTCGAAAAAATCCGGGCTGTGCCTCAAAGCACACCGTACATTTGCAGCGAGGGTAAATTAATTGAACCATTCATCCCCCGAACTCCGGTGAAGCTTACCTTCTCGCCGAAGTCCAGCAAGCCTCCGGCGATAACGTCGGTGGAGAATAAAAAGTTTAGTAAGTTGAAGATCAGCACTCTCGGCAAAATTACCAAGCCCACTGGCTTGGTGGAACCCAGGAGGCTGAATTTTAGCAAGCGTACTTGCACTAATTGTAAAGTTGGTGGACGGCCGGATTACACCGGAAGGGAAACTGTGGACATTTTGAGCCTCTTGGGGGACAAAAGCAACCACTGGCGCGCTATCGGGAAAATCCTTTCGTATTTAAGCCCCCAAGATTTGTGCGCGATAAGCATGGTGTCTCAGGTATGGCGGAAAATTTGTTTGAGTGACACTGCTGCTAACTTGAGACGGCTGAACCAAGTTTACGTTAGGCAGAACACTAAGGAAAATTTAGTGCTTATTAGAAGTAAAAGTGACATTACGTGCAGTCCTAAATCTACGAGCAGGTTAGTCAAGAGGAATTATCTTACGGATGTACAGAATGTTCAAGCTACTCCCGGGCGCAGAGCTCCACCACAGAGTCCACCTGTTTCGCCTAGCAAAGTTAAATTTCATTCTTTTGTCAAGGTATTTATTTTTTTATTATTTAAAATTATTATTATTAATGAAAATTAAGTTTCAAAAATTTTTAGAATTTTTTTTTATTGAAAAAATAATTTTAAAAAAATTCATTTGTAAAAAATTTAAAAAACTACACGTGCAATTTTTTAAAAATATTTTTTTGTTCTAATTTAATTATCAAAATATTAAAAACGTCGGCTAACTTAAGTAATATTGATTATTGATGAAAATGAAGTTAGCCGACTTTTAGAAATTTTTTATTGAAAAAATTTCAATTAAAAAATTAAAAAAAAAAATTTCACATGTAAAAAACTTGAAAAGCTATAAGTGCAATTTTTTAAAAATGTCTTTTTAGTTATAATTTAATTAATAAAAAAAAATCAAAAATTTTTAGGCGTCTGCTAATTTCAGTGTCATGATTATTATCAAACTGAATATTTTTTTTTTTTAACAAATAAATTATGATAAACTATTTTCTTAACACTTAATTATTTGTTAAAAAAAATTCTAATATTTATCAGTTGTTAATTTTATACTAGAAAATTATTAGACTTAAAATTAATGAAGAAAAAAAGATATTAAAGGAGTCACTTGATAATTTAAAAATTTTTTTTAACTAACTAGTTAGAAAGAATTATTTAAAAAAAATTGCATTTTTTATTTTTTTAAATTTCTACATGTCAATTTATTTGTAAAAAAAATTATCAAATGCTAAATTATAATTTTCATAAAGAAATATTATTTCAAAAAACTACAAGTATGAATTTTTCATCTCTTATAAAGATATTATAATAGGAAGCTGAAATGATAATTTAAAAAATAATCTCGCAAGAGTTAATCAATGTTGATTAAGTTCAAGGAACTAACGTGCTGCTGACCAAGTGTGATACATAATATATGACAATAATAATAAAATAATTCTCAATGTATTACCTTACCCTTAGCCATAGATCATATTCACTCCTCCGCTGCGTTCCGTTCTCGTCTTCTTTCATCGTCTGATATACAAAGTAGAATGAGATTATTATTATCGTCGTCAGCTCGTATGTCCTTAGGCTATAATCTCATCGGTTTGTAGTAAGGACCTTATAATAATAATGATAATAGAGAGAAAGACTAAGTAGGAGCATTGATTTAATTATAATTGCTTTAAAAAGTTTATTGCAAACAAATTTTTCATTTATTTCTACGCATTAATAATATAATAATACCAATGTATAATAAATGAGCAAATTGGCTGAGTATGTAATTATACCGGAGTATAATGGGAGACACAGATAATTGCGTCATTATACATTATACATTATATATTAATAGAGTTTGCGCTTTAAAAAAACCCGCAGTTTTTGACATTGATCCGCCGATCTATAAATCATGTCAATGCTTTTTTGCTTCGGTTGTGTTATAGAAAAATAGATTGTGGATTTTATTTTAATTCTAGGCGTTTTAATCAGCTGATAAAATTCGGGAAGTGAATTCATCCGGTTGCAAAACTTTGAGTTTTAGTTTTGTTTCTAAAGATCTATTAGTTTTATAATTTTGACTGTTTGAGGAGATTCAGATATCAGTGTGTATTTGTTTTTTAATTATTTTTATCTAGTACAAGTTAAAACCGACCACCTACAATGTGATTTGTATCTAAACATGCAGAACACAAACTTGTAGGTCGACTGTTTAGTTTAATGCGACATCATTAGTATACTATCTTATAAGATTAAATAAGACTGATTAACTGGAATATTCAATACTTTTTCTTTTATTGAAGATTGGAAAGAAGGGTTTGTTAATGGTTTTACCAAAAACTAATTTTTAAATATTTTGTTAAAATTTTTTTTAAACAAAATTTTCGATTATTACTAAAATAATTTTTTTATTAGAAATAATTTTTTAATAAAAAATATTTTTTTATAAAAATTACTGAATTAATTTGTAATTGATAAATTTTTTTTATAAAAAATTTTTCATTACTATTAAAGTAATTTTTTATTGAAGAATTTTTTTGTAAAAAATTCTCAATTGCCGCTGAAGTAATTTTCCATTGAAAATTATTTTACATCAGCTAATAAAAAAAAAATTTAATGGCTAATGAGAAACTAACACATGAAGAACACCCTCGAACTCTATAGAGTAAAATCCAGCAACAAACCGTCAAATGATAAGTGACTATATAATACAATAATAAATAAAAAAAAAAAAAAACAAGAAATCAAGGGTCCAAATAGGAAACGGAAAGACCAAAAGACAAATAATAAGGCAGGTGAATTCCGTTGGCTACGATTATTTCCTTTTCTTACGACGATATCTTCTTCAGCAGCAAGCTAATGTCGCTTTACCTTAGACCCTCTTCCGGTGTAGACCATCATGACCAGACTTATTTAACCAACAAACAAAATAACCATAACACAAGCCACGATGATATGGAAAGAGTGTAAGAGAAAATGGTCTGGCAAGGGGACAAGAAGCCAACGGAATGTTTATTCGCAAGGAGATCGAGCAGGTGCAGCTTTTAACCGTCGTTTTCTTCCCGCAGTAATTCTCTTCGAAATTACAATCAAGTATTGTATGCTTATACTCGTTATTACTCTGTTTACCAATTCAAATTGTCCAATCATTTCTAATTGCTTTATATTAATTATTCCAGATGAGAAGTAATGTAATTTTGAAAATTGTACTGCACTAGAAAGAATATATTTAAAATTTTAAGGAAAATATTTAGTCGAGTCCTGGATGACTGATGACTATTTCCTTTCTAACTATCATCGATCTACTGAGCGACCACCTGGCCATCAGGTGTCGTCGTTACTTTGTGTCTTCCGAACCGTAACCTTTTATGATCATGATGATGATAATTATATCACCAACTGTCTAGTTTATTTTTTTGTTCACCGGCTGAGTTACGTTCCGTTAAAAATTTTTCCGGTTAATTGATTTTGTAAATCACGAGTAACGCGTTATAATTTTAAACTAAACAAACTGGTCAATTTTTTTTTTACTAGTTAGATTTCGTTAAAAATCGGCCTGTTGCAAAGGCACTCATATTGGAGTTTACATAAAATTTTGCAGTATGTTTTATTTTGTTGAGTTGTGCCGAAAAATAGCACCAGCTCAAAAGTTTATATATGTATGTGTGATAGAATCGGCCTTGTGAGCACGATTACGGCCGCAATTATCGACGGATCTTGATGAAACTTGACGAATTTTTAGTATCAACGAAAACCTCGGTCAAGTTAAAAAAAACTGGCAAATCGGTCCATTAGTTGCAAAGTTGTGGGTGGTTCAAGAAATTTTTTCATTTTTATGAAAATAAAAATTTTGCGAGATTTTTCCAAATAACTCTAAAACTATAATTGATAACTAAATTCTGTCAATTGTATCTTAAAGTTCTTATAATTATCTTCAATTTACGTAGTATTATTTTCTTCTCATAAAATTTTTTATATTTTTTTCACTGCTTTTAAAATCACCGAAAATATTAAAAATAATAACTCTTATGGCATTATCTTAAATCCGAACAAAAACAGTTTCACTGTAAAAAAAATCGCGCCAAGTCCACGTTCATAAGACTATTAAGAAAAAAAAATTTTGTTTTCTTTACAAAAAGATATAAAATAAAAAAATTAAAAAATACCAAGTAACCAATATGATTGTATATGATTTTCCGAAATTGAAAAAAGTTCGGATTTTAGTATTTTTTGTAATTATAATAAAAATTTACAAATTTTAAATCTCGCGTTGGCTGCATTTTTATAGCAAACTATTCCCTTGAAGCTACAGTTTATGTAAAAATAATTCCAGCGCACCCTGGCGGGTGTAGATGCAAGCTGTGAAATGTATTTTTCTAACTGTAGTTTCCCATTTATCGGAGGATTACCATGCACTATCGAATTATGTATGTAGTCTGTGGCAGATCACTTTGCCCATCGAAAAAAAGTCAGGATCGAAATTTTTGCGTTGCTGTAGTTTGTGCTGATTAAATTTAATAATTTCAAGTAGATTAATTGTTATAATTAAATATAATTAATTAATATCAGTAAAATAAAGTATGAATTACTGTTATAATATAAAATTTAAGAAAAAAAATTACCGTAGAATTAAATAAAATTTTGCAACCTCGAAATACCGTTCTGCTTACAGTAAACACACTCGGTAGTCTGGCGCTCCGTTTACAACGGATTTGAACGGAACTTGGCGCCAGATTCTACCGAATCTGTGGATTAGTTTCTGCTTAACTTATTGTATCGCGATTTCATAAATTGCATGTTATAGCTCATGAAATAAGCTACAATTTTCACTATTAAATGTATAATTTTTCTAGAGTTTGTATATTTTAAGAGCGCTCTAAAGTTAGTGACAAAATTTTCAGCTCTTATGTGCGAAAATTGATAAATCTACCTTTTCATATCAGGTGTAACCAAATAGTGCTTATTTAGTCCTTCAATTTAAATAAGCAACATGATTTCTTCTTATAAATTTTTTTATTAATATATCTTCTGTGTCTAATTCAAATTTTTTATAAATTTCGAGTAAAAACCTTTTTTTAGAGAAAATTAAAAAAAAACTAAGAAATATCAGTTACTGTTTTGAAATAGAGTATTATTATAATTTATTTATTATTTATGACTTATTGTATGAATAATTATAGGTAAATTATATATATTTTAAGAGCGCTCTAAAGTTAATCACAAAATATTCAGCTCTTATGTGCGAAAATTGAGAAATCTATCTTTCCATGTCGGGTGTATCCAAACGGTGATTTTTTGTTTTTAATTAATCGATTCGACTCGCGTTGTTATTAAATTACTCAAGTACAAATTAAGCTGGTGATGGGAGTAAGAAGCTGTATCAGGCACTGTCCTACATATATATCTCTATGCATTTGCGAGTCTCCCGCAGAGAAGTAAGTTCTGAATCGAATCGCGAGGGTCTACGAACACGTGTGGTCTTTGACGCTAAATAACAGCGCTGAATTGATATGACGGAATTTATATTTTTAATTTAATCATCATATGTAGAAAGACACGTCTTTATCTATTAAAATTTTCATCCTTATAATAGTTAATAAATTTATAATACATTATGTATAGTCACAAGTCATAATTTATGATATATTATTTTTGTTTGACTGGAACTAGAAAATTGCTTCATTTAAGTATGAATCATTCGAGCTTATTTATTTTTATTTATTTATTCAAAGTAGTCTCAGTAGTTTACATTAAAAAAAAAAAAAAAAAAAAGTGAGATATTTTATGCATCGAGACTTACAATCGGAAGCAATGTTATAAATTATAACTTTTTATATTTATACTGTAATTAGCCATTAAACTTTATTATTTGTTAAACAATTTTAACTATCAGTTTATAAAAAAAATTCTATTAATTGAATTTTTATTTTTAATACCAAATTATTTCCGAGAATTATTCAATACTCATTGTATTTATTTTATATAATTTTAATTTTAAATTTTAAATTTTTATTTCAAGTTTATATTTAAATTTTATTTTTAAATATAAAATAATTCTATTTATTAAATTTTATAAATAATTTTTATTAATTATTTATTTTTAATATTTGAATTAATTTGTAAAAATTTTAAAAATAAATAGCAATTGGAAATTTTTCATTTAAAAATATTCTCGGTAATAATTAAGATAAAAAAAAATTTATCTGAGTTATTGAGTGGCTTATATAAAATTGTAGATAAATTTTAATGAATGGATTCATACATAAAAAATCAGTTTATTGCACTTTCACCGGCTAAATTTGTAAACAAAAACTCCAGTATTTTATTTTTCAAGAATATAAATTGAGAAGCAAAAAAAAAATGGCATTTGATTTTGTTTTGAGTTAAAAAGAATTTATTTTAATTATTACACAAAAGCATAATTTTTAAAGACAGCTGTAGGAATAAATTACTGAAAAAAATCTTAAAAATTCAGTGATTTAAAAATAAACTAATTAAATAAATTTTTTACTAAGAAATATTATTCAGTAAAAAATTTTTACAATTATAATTTTGTATCGTAGACTAATTTTAAACGAGAGAGTCGGTAGTAAAAAAAGTAAACTATAAAACAACAATAGAATAGTTTAGTCTAGTCCGAAGGATTTTGAAAGTGTAGAAATGTTGGAGGCCATATGTCCTGTTTTAAGCGGAGGGTGAATATACGCTCATCCTACAAAAGAAAGACCGAGCTGGCCAGAGTGTAGTGGGTACAAGGGGAACCAGGGAAAAAAGATATGGCGACAGGAATTCATGCAGCTGCCCTTATATTATTTTATATACCATATTCTACGTATAGTACTGCCATCCACAGTGGGTATCGGTATGGGCTTTGTTGGGCTTGCTTTTCAAAAGGCTCCAGGTTCCCACTACCAGATAGTACACCGTAATTCTATATCTCCTGTATAATGTATAATATATGTGTATGTACATGCTATAAGTGTGAGTATGTAAGGACCAGAACCAGGACGAGA